AGTTCAGGCTGCTATTACAAAAATACCATAGCCTGGGTGGCTCTGACAACAGTCACTTCTCACAGTCCTGAAGTCTGGAAGTCTGAGATGAGTCTAAAGGGAATTATGCTGAGTGGAAAAAGCCAATTCTGAAAGGTTACATGCTGTGCAGTCCACTTATGCAACATTCTTGAAATGACAAAATTATAAAAAATGGAGAACAGACTAGTGATTGACAGGGGATCAGAACTGGGGGTTAAGTGGGGAGCAGGGAAAGAGAGGTGAGTGTGTCTATAAAAGGTCAACGATGGGGGGGACCCATGTGGTGATGGGACTGTTCTGCATCCTGACTATACCAATGTCAGTATCTGGCTGTGATATTGAACTATAGATTTGCCAGATGTTACCATTGAGGGAAAACGAGTAAAGGGAACCCAGGATCTCACTGTAGGATTTCTTACAATTGCATGTGAATATACAACTATCTCAAGATAAAAAGTTTCACTTGAGTTATAGGCTGTGATTGATAAAAATTGCCCACCTCCTTAAATGTTGGCCACCTTATGATTTTCTTAGACATGTTACTGACTACCTAATAATTATCAAAATTGTAAAACACGTTGAGTATTATGAATACTTTGATCATCATTGTAACGGAATAGACAAATGTGTTTCTATGAAAGGCCAATTTTGATTATAAGAAAACACAGACACACACAAAACAAAACCTCTGTGAAATGGATGGCAATCGACCTCGCTCATTCTGGGCCCTGGCAGGAGGTCTAAGGATTCTACCATCTGGGATTTTGGGATGAGGCTGACATTCTCCTGCCCCTTTCCTTGCAGGATCTCCTCTTCAGCGTGTGCGCCCTCAACGTCCTGTCCACCATCGTGTGTGCGCTGGCCACAGCCATGTGCTGTATGCAGATGGTCTCCTCTGACGTCCTGCAGATGGTGAGTGACTGATCCCCTCCTCCTCTACCCATTTTGAAACCAGTGTAGAAGTGGACGCTTCTGACTTCAGCCAGATGTGGTAAGGATAGTGGCCCCTGACGGTCCATGGCACCTGGAGTTTGCCTTGTGTTGCCCTCTGGAAGACCAAGCATCTGCACATGTGGCGCCGCTGATGTATTTATTTTAGGTGTTGTTGGAGCTCCATATTGACAGGGGTCTGCCACTGTCGTGTTCTCTAGGTTGGCCCCTGGCATGTGCCCTTGAGTCCATGTCGTGAAATTCCTGCAGCCCTGGACATCCCCTGGACTCCAAAGCAAGGTGCCTTCCTCGGGCTTCAGAATTCTCTTTTAATCCAGGAAGTTTAGGGGTGTTAGAAGATCAGTTCTTTTCCAATTGGAAAATTGCTAACCTGTGCATTTTTGATTTGCTAATGAACCCTGAGCTCGTACTCCAGCGGCCAGTCACTGGCCATCATTTGGCCCTTTGCCCAGGGTCGTACACAGGAAGACCTGCTGCTCCCAGGGGCAGCAAGGAGGCCAGGAGCATGGTTCACTAACACATGTTATAATATGTGAGTTATTAATACACATTTATAAATACACATCTCATAAATAGTGAAGGCTCTTCCTGTTTTCAGTGTGAATGGAACACAGCCTACTGATCAGAATGCTACTGAGTACAACAAAGAGAAATTGATGAAAAAATATCGTAAGGGTAGGAATGTCTATGTGTGTGTGTCTGTCTGTCTGTCTCTCTCTGTCTCTCAGTTTGCCCGTTTGAGACCTACCCTGCTTCCCACGCAATGTTTTATGCATCTTAGGCAAGAAAAGGCAGCTGGTTCTTATAGTGGGGTTTTTATGTTCTCTTCTTTGTCATTCACCCTGTGGCAGTCAACATCAGTTAATCAAGATACAGGGCCAGAGAGCATCATTACCAAGACGTTAAAAATTCATTGGTTCTAATTGCATGCCACGGGAGTCTCTCCCTCCCGGTGTATATCCACACAGCTGTCACAGCCAGGCTGCCCTTTCTGGGAGGCTGCAGTTTTCTGAAAGGTATCTAATTAAGCAGTTATTCAGTAACCATGAACTTCTGCCCTTGTTCACCGGGGCCTCACGTTGGCAATTTTCTCCAGCGTGTTCTGTAAAGGAAAGGTTAAGTACCAGGGGTTTCTCCTCACCTCAGCAGATTTTACTATTGATCTGTAAATATCACATCAGTTCAACCAACTTACAGAACTAAAGGCATGTAAATGCTGAAAGTTTGCATTCTCCTGGTTTTATGCGTTAAAATAAAAATTGCCAACTAAATAAGAATAAGGTAAATTCTGTTTATGAGAGCATATACGATTATAGCAGCAGTGTGCAGAGACGCGCTGTAGTTGCGATGGGTGGGGCATGAGCCGCCGTGGAGCCATGCGTCTGAAGCCAGGAGCGCCAGGGTCTGAGTCCCACCTCTTCTGCATTCGAGGCAGGTGACTCTGGGTGTGTCACCGAACCTACCTGTGCCTCAGTTTCCTCACCTGTGAAGTGGAATGAATGGGAGGCCTGGGGATCTCTAATACATGTGAACTGTTTGATTTGAAAGGTGCAGGGAGTATCAGTCTGTCACTGGGACGTCGCAGCAATGTCTGCAGACGCGGTGGCCGAGGCTCTTTACCAGCAGAAAGTCCTGTGCGAGGGAAGGGCAGGCAGTGGCGACAGCGGCTGCCCTCAGAAGCCCTATTGTTTCCTCACTGAGTACTTTGTGGGTGAGTTTGCCTCACACCCCTGGCTTGGAAGCAGAAATATCAGGCTTCCCACCAGCACATCCTTTCCGCTCTGTGACGGGTGCCGTGGGAGCCCAGGGCTCTGCTCTCCTGGTGAGACCCCGCCTCTGCTGCCGGGCTTCAGAGTCATGGGGGAGGCAAAAGAGAGCTGGTGGTGGGTGGCCATGGCGCCTGTGGGACTGGCATGATCTTGGGCACATCACTGCCTGTGGGACCCCGTTTCCTCAGCTGTAAAGAAGATGAAGTGTGTGCCCTGCTGTCCTCATAGAGCTGCTTACAGGATGAGTCCATTCCTCTGTGGGAATGGGATTTGAAGGAACATGGTGGCCACATGGAGGCTGGCTCCTGCCATGTGGGCCGGAGGCTTGAGCCAGGCTGGCTGGGCAAACCATTCCCTATTAGTAGCATCCGCAGTTCACCCCTGCACCATTTCTGCTCCAAGAAGCTGGGCCATAAGCTTTCCAAGGGACATTGTAGCTATTCCTAACTCGTTTATGCCAGTGATATTTGTTGTAATTACATGTTCTAGTACTATGTAAAGCCAGGAAATATGAGTGCAGAAAGATAATTGTTTCTGGTATAACACAGTTGAGTTCTTTGGAAAGGTTCGGTGAAAGGGTGCTGCTGAATATATTGCTGTTCATTTAGATGCAAGTGAGACAACTATGGCGGTTGCAATAAATGCTGATAAAAATTTAGAGGAGCCAGGCGTGGTGGCTCATGACTGTAATCCCAGCACTCTTGGAGGCCGGCAGATCACCTGAGGTCAGGAGTTCTAGACCAGCCTGGTCAACATGGTGAAACCCCGTCTCTACTAAAAATACAAAAATTAGCTGGGCATGGTGGCACATGCCAGTAATCCTAGCTACCCAGGAGGCTGAGGCAGGAGAATGGCTTGAACCTGGGAGGTGGAGGTTGCAGTGAGCCAAGATTGCACCACTGCACTCCAGCCTGGGTGACAGAGCAAGATTCTGTCTCAAAAACAAAATAAAATAAAATAAAAATAAAAAACATCTAGAGGGAATCCACATACACATTGCTTGACAAGCGCCTTTCAGCTCTAGCCCCACTTTAAAAACACAGAAAAAGGTTGTTAGATCCATGTCTTACGGATGCAGCTATGCAGGAAAGACCACAGGGCACCCCACACAGCAGACTGACTCTGAGAAGAGGCTTTACTCAGGCAGAAAAAGGTCAGTCCATGTATGTACAGTCAGCCCCCGAAAAAGGTCAGTCCATGTATGTACAGTCAGCCCCCG